GGAAAAAGCGGGTCATTGGAGGAGGAGGAGGCGGACGACGGGGAAGGGGACGACGGGGAAGGGTTGGAAGACTACGAGTCCGAGGATGACGCCGGGTCGGTGGATTTGGAAGCGGACGACGACGAGATGGTGCCGCGCTTCCTCAACGAAAAGGAGGGCCGGGACACGTACGGTCCCGCGCCAGTGCGGGGGCTGGGAGACATGGGGCGGGGCTTCTGGCAGGACTTCGAGATTCCGGACGAGTTGGTCATGCTCCAGACCAACTACGATCCGGAGCTGGCGGAAAAGTTCCTCGCCCGGAACAACCTCTGGAAGGCCTCCATGGTGTCCCGAATCCTGCCCGTCACCGTCCAGTTCAACACCCCTGCCGAGGAGGTGTTCTTCTCCGAGGCGGTCATCCGGACGGCCTTCCCTGGCTTGCAGGACCACGGTCGGTCGCTGCACATGCAGGCGTTGCAGGTCGCCAATGGTGCCCCAATAGAGGCGACCGATCACGGCACGAGCGAGCAGCTGGCCCGGATCGCGTGGCGGCGGCGGGAGGAGAGGGAGACCTCGGAAGCCGACGACGGCTTAATGCTGACAGAGGCTGAACGGGAGTGGAAACGGAAGCGGCTCGAGGACCAGGCCTTGTTGGGGGAGCGCGCGGAGCATGAGATTGCGGCGGCCGCCATCGATTACAAGCGGCAGAATAGGGGGTAGAGTCGTTGTTTCAGTAGGTGTTTGATTGGTACACAGTCGGGTTTGAGTGTGTTTAGGTTAGGCGCCTGATGTCCAAGAGTCGCTTAGAGGACGCGGATTAGTAAATGGCGCGGTAGGCTGTAAATGATGTTCTGCAGAACACAATATTGACTGTATGTGATTTTTTTGCTTTTAGGGTTTTGCAGACTTGCGTGATGCTTATAAGGATCGTACAAGACACAGTTTGTGCCTTCGCAATGGACCGCCAGTGCTTCGAAGCTGATAATGTGTCCACGAATGCAGTAGAAATAAGAGTCCCCTTTTCTTTGCACGCCGATGATCAGCGCGCGCTCCATCATCATGTTTCAAAGTAGTTTGGTATTTCGATTGAAGAGAACATCGGCCTCTATGATCATGGCATAGTTGGCACATTTGTAAACTACGCGTCCCTGGTTATGTATGTTAACAATTCTTATGATTAATTGGTACATTTGATGGAAGCATGTGCGGAACCTATTACATGATATCACGAAAAGTCCTCTATCCGTGGTTATGATAATATATATTATTTAGATGTACCGTATGCACGTAGTGCATGGAGCCTCGGATTGAGCGTGCATCGTAGATTACTTGTATTCAAAATATATGAAGCATACTCCACTCCGAGACAGTGCGGCGCACGCATGCCACAACGTATACGACTTATTGGCAGAAGTAACGCGGCCAAGTGATTTAGCTTTTTCCAAACTTAGGATATCAATCCGATCGACGGAGTCAAGTACCGGCTGCTTAATTTCTATATCATGATCGGATGTGTGGAACCAATCACATCATGAAAGTTCTTTGTCCGTACTTATAACAATATTATTCATGAATACATAGTATATGTACATAAAGCTGTTTGAGCATGCATCAAAGAATTATAATGTGATATCACCGTAATATTTTTAAAACATACTACTCAACTCCAAATCGCGGCCTATGCATGCCACAACAGATAGTATGACTCCTATTTGACATTGGCAGTAATACGAAGTAAGTTAAGACTTTCAAACAACTTGGCATATTAATAAACGGATGTACGCCGTCTACATACTAGTACTACCGGCTGCTAAACGAATTAAATAACTCGACTGGTCAGTGGTAACGTTGTACGTGTTTAGCGCTATTTCCATAGTAGTATTAGTACCGTCAAGCATGTTATGCATGGTTCATCGGATCACTACGCCAGCATTCAATTGTAATCGTACGCCGCAAAGAAGTTGATGCGGATCATCACGCCACTGGCATTACAGCGCAACTTTCGAGCATGGTACAATTTAATAGAGTCATTGTTTGATTGTTCACATCTATCTAAAATAGAGGTTTCTGTACACTAGACGTTTGTTATGCGTGAATGTGTGCTTGGGAACCATCATTTCTACCGACTTGATGCTACTAATGGAGAGAACCTGGCAATAAGGCGTGCCTTCTGGTCGCCCCGGCATCCGAGCCCACTCCAATTGCGGACACTTTGTAGCATCCAAGAAACCAACCTCGTTATACCATCGCACGAACACCAGCTCGTGCGGCACCTTGGTAGGTACCCTTCGCCTTAAAGCATTATCCCACACGGTCTTCCGCTCGAACGCTCTGAAAAACATATGGGCCTTCCCGTACCACGTGTGCGTAACCGGGTCGTCCGGAGAGTCGGACGCAAAGGCTAAGTCGCTAAGGACCACGCTCCCGTGGAAGTCGGCGCTCGCTCTCGCCTGCTGAAGCCGGTCTCGGCCTCCAACATGCGGAACCACGTAGCACGAGTTGACCACCTCAATCTGCAAACGGGAGCGGGTTTTAGGGCCACTTTTCACAAACAATAGCGTAGCAGTCTGGGCAGCGTGCCAAAGATAAAGCCGTCATCAAAGCATTGCTAGCAACAGGGAAACCACGATATTGCATGTTGTTCCGAGTCCGTTGAGCGACTGCACTCTGCTCACCCGGTCAGCGAGTTTGTCGTCGAGGTAACCCATAAGGTCCAAACCGCGAAGCTGGGCCGGCGGCATTTGCGCCTCCCCGGTGAAGTACAGAGCGAGAGCTGTGGGGAGCTCCGACAGAAGGGGGATGCTGCGCATCCACTGGAGGAGAAGGCGGCGTTGCTCCCAGCCTGCAAATGTGTACAAAGTTCAACGGTCGTAAGTAAAAGATCTTGTAAGAGTGATACGGCGTTGAGACATCGCGCACAGTTTCCAGAAACAAGCAGCACTGCGGCAGTTCGGATATGATCCGGAGCTTTCCTTGCGCACGATATAACAAGACACAGACAGATGGCTTCTTTTGTAATCTACGCGCGTGGCTTCTCGGTACGATCTCGAGCATGCAGCTTGAAGGTACTCCGGACTCTATTGTAGGTAGTAAGAGTCGAGCCAGAACTCACCTCGAACGAGGAGGTCATTCGCTCGGTCAGGCGAAACCAACAGGTTTGGGATGAAGATTGTGAACAGCTCGGTCTTGTTCAACCGGTTCTCTCCACCGGTCGAGTTGGCATCCAGCGCAGCAAGAGCAGCTGAGTCGTACACATCCCGCCTCTGCAACTCCGTCAGCTCCGCCCGCTGGGCCTCGACGGACTCTATTGCGAGGGTGTTGTTCCAACTGCGGCTCCAAACAAAGCACCACGTTTTTAGAAATGAATGAAAGACGATGCTTTCAACCCTATAAGCGCCGCTCAAAGCGATAGCTCATCGGTAGGCAGCCCGAAATGAACCGCTTCACACAAGAAGGCCGCGGAAGATGCAGGAAAAGGCTAACTGCAGCTAAAGTTCTTACCTCTTGTGGAGCGCGTTCGAGATGTCCTTCCCATTCATCTCCTTCCACCACTTCTTCACCCAGTGATGCCTCCGTTCCCCCCTCTCCGTAGAAAACCACCTAGGCGAGCCGCAACGCCTGATGAAGTCCGTGAACTTGGACGTCTCGTGCATCTTCCGGAAGCACCAACGGGATGCTTGGTACCCCGCGATGGGTTTGCACTTTGCCTCAAACACCGCCAGCAGGGCGTCCGACTTGTCGAGAGAGTCGTCGTCGTGATCACCGTCCGGTGTCCAGAACGTGTGCCTAACCCATTCGCACAAGGCGACCGCCCACTCCGCAAGAACGTCCTTGCTGCGAATCTTACAGATTCCGACCACCATTAGGGGGAGAACCTGCAGGATGGCTTTCCACTCGTACGCCGGCGTGTTGCAGGGCTTGGTGAAGAAGTCCTTCTTGGAGGGGAGACGCAGGCCGCTTGGCCGGAATTTCAGGTACACCTGCACAAATAGAACCGCGCGGAATGAGGACAAGCAACTAGGAGAGGCAGGTTCGATAACAAAAAGCAACATCGGTTTGCTCGGGAAACGGCATGTCGGGAGCAGGTCGGGCATTGCGTCAGAATGTTTACAATACGAAACACACCTGATGCAATCGCACGTCCATCAGACTCATGAAGGCGGGTTCGCCCATCGGCAAGGCCCTCCCGACCGCCCCAAGGATCCCGATGAAGTGGTGGCCGAGGATGCCACCGAAGATGGTATGAAGATCGTCAGGGGCCATCTTGCTGTAGACGTTGTTCCAGAAGCGGTCCGAGTAGTTCCAGTCCCAAAACCACGGCTGCATACAGATGCGAGGAGCTGTTCACAAGCTTTCCGAAACATCTCACAAAGGCGCATTGTTGGAAAGGATGTGACGGCCGCAGCTTGTTCCAAGACGGAGCACTATGTCAACTGACCCCCCAGATTTCCTAAACAACCAGACAGACCGATGTTTTTGAAAGGGTGCGTCGCTCAGGTTGATCCTCACCTCCGAAAAGTGGATGCCATGCTCCTTGTTGAGCTCCACAATCCTTGCATGGGGCGCCCTCTCGTCGCGCTTCCGCTGCATCTGTTGGACGACCCCCCACATGTCGTCCTCTAACCGCGCGTCGTACGCACCTTGGTTCGCCCGAGTCACCAAGTGCATTTCGGTTATTGGGACCAGGCAGGAGTCGCAAGAGTTGGACCTGACCCCCGAGATCGATGAAGCCTCGCCGAGATCTTTGGAGATCACGTAGATGAAAGGAACAGCGTTGTGCTGTGCGCCGTTAGGATCCGTCACCTGAAACCCCTTGTAGGATGCTTTCCGAGTGCTTTCGAAGACAATGCTCATGGACCAGTTCATAAAGAACCGGCAGGTCTCCTTCAACCCCTCTGATCGGGGTTTGTAGCCAGGGCCGGGCCAGTCAGCGTCACCTCGAACGCTGGGCAGCAGGGCGACCAGCTGCATGCCGCTCTTCTGGTTGTACACCTCCCAAGAGAAGTTGCCCAGCGATATGTACATGGGGTACGCCGACACTCGCCCGAGACCGTCCAAGGTGGTCTTGTCTAAGTAGACGATGATTGGGACGATGATGTGCTTGCCAACAAATGTGGGATCGTTGTCCACCTGAAGAAGAGGAAAAGGCAAACTGCATCAGGGTGGATGACAAGCACGCGAGGTAGGAGACTGCAAAGTCGACTCTAGATAAAGGAAGCACAATCAAATGTGTCACCTTGCATCCTAGTAACACGTCCCTTCGAGTCAACGGGCTCTATTCATCTGCTCTCACAAGAATGCAAAGGGACAATGAATGTCCCTTGCCTCATTTTGAGCGTCGTTCCAAAACGTTCCGGTACTCGGATGATTGTACTCCCGGATGATGATAACCTTCCCGTTCGCTCCCCGCCTGATCTCCTTGATTTTCACCTGCAGTGCACCGATGTTTCTTTTGCACGGATCATTCAAATTTCAAGCCACTAGAAACAGATGATGGCAAGAAGCTCTCACCCAAACCTACCGTACTCACGGGCGTACTCATTTGCCTCCCTCGGCTGCAAAGTGTAAATCAAGTATGCTAATTCAGAACCTGCTTGGGTCCCGCGCATCACACCCATATGAATCTGAGGGCCCACCTGCGGCTCGAGAACAAACCCCTTCTTGTTGTTCACGTCGGCGAACATCCTGCGGATGAGATCGAGTGCCGGGATGTAGGACAAGAGGATTGGTTCAGGGTCCTTGCCTGCCCTCTGCAAGTTGACAATCTTGGAGCCCTGCACGACAAACGCGAGCGTGAACAATCGACGTCACCACCTGTAGTGCGGAAATGTTCCAAACAATTGCCGTATACTACTTGCCCCGTGACATGCTCCGACTCCTCTACTTGCCGCTCGATTTCCCATTCTTAGCGTCTCAGGAAGGTCTTTGAAATGGTGCACGCGCTCTGCTTTACTTAGAAGCGGGTTCACTTCACCTCACGAAGGGAGCAAACCCTTAGCCCCGCTCAATAGTTTGCGTCAGATGATTAACTCACATCACCAACGGCAGCTTTCATGATTGTCAGCTCCATATCACGGTGGGACTTCCACTTTGCCAAGCACTCCTCCAAGCGGTAGCGGTCGTCCTTCATGAGCTTCAACCACTCGTTCCTTGCCCGGTTAGGCAGCTTGGTACCTCCCGCACCAGCGGAATTCATCCAGAGGACCGTCTCCATCGCAGAGTCAAAGGGTGGCCCTGAGCTCCCGCCGCCACTATCTAGCTCGTCACTGTCCTCGTGAGCTGGCAGCTGCCCCTCAACATCATCCTCGATGATGAGATCAGCATTATCATCGTAGAAAGGACCTTCTGGTGGGTCAACATTGTTATCGTCAAACTCTACAACGGGCACAACAGGCTCCACTCGGCCCCCTGCTCTTTCGATGGCAGCCTTCATTGATCTCACCACTCGGCATGCTGTTGATTGCTGATGGTGCCAATGCAGGTTAATCTGTGTATCAAACTTGGTGTTACAATGTACACAGGGGATGCCTTCTCCGTCTTTTCCAGCTGTTGATGCCATCACTAAGCAGAGGAATAAACAAAGAACTATCATTTTAAGCTACAAGCGGTTGACTACATACTGCCCTATATAGTTGGCAGCTCTGTTAAGCATATCCCAAAGATTCCCAGACATGAACTCTGCACATTCTTTCTGATCTGAAGCGCAACTGTAATTTGGGATGGACTGAATGGAGCTAAGCGCCATTCCGGATAAGGATAGCACTACATTCAGATGGCTTCAACAAGATTGCCGTTAATCTGCCGGAGCTGGTGATAGTACTAGTACTTTAATAATAGTAGAGCCTAGCCCAAGCTGGAGAATGAGGGCAATGGCAATCAACGTCTTATAGCGCCAAGGTAACGTTTGAAGGCACTGTAGCGCTGCTCCTTTGAAGGCAGCGGGACAACCTAATTAATCAGAGATGTAGGAGGTAGCCTGTCACATCAGACATTCTAGTTGCTTAGCGCGAGTTAGCCAGCTAGGTGTTACTCTGTGATTATAGGGAATTCCGCGCCCTTCTTATCGACGGTCTGTGATCGTAGATGCAACATCGGACGGTGAATATTTTGAAAGATTCGAATTTTCGGACATCGACGAAATTCCACCGTCCGATGTTGAGATCTAATTCGATCAACGGTTCACGCTCAAGGCACGGCCGAAATTCAAATTTCGGTCTGGAGCCGGTGTCGTGACTCACTTACTGAGTCTGGCCTAGGCTACCCAAGTCTACAGTAGAGTGACAGGTAGCTCACAAAAAGTAGACTCTTAAGAGAAGGAAGAAGGGTGCCTCTCAAGTGCGCAGCGCAAGGTGTGTTTCCCCTAACATCCCATCCACAAGCAGCAGTAGTATAGTGCCGCAGCACCAAGGAGGCAAGTATGGTGCATAGAGGGGCTGCCAACGCCAATGTTCTGAAGGCGGTGCCACCCAATCTTGGTGGGCCCCAAGCAAATCGGATTTGGAAAGTTGAGCAGGCAGCCAAGGCCAAGGAGGCACAAAAAAAGAGAAAGGAATATGAGGCGGAGGCGGCAGCTGAGGAGGAGCGCCATATAGCAAAGAAGAGCAAGCAACCTGCCGACAGCAAGAAAAAGGCCACTACTAGTAACCTGTCCAAAGCACAAGGTTACAAACCAAGGTCTCAAGCAATACCCCCTGAGGAAGTAGATGAGAACAATGCCTATGGCTATGGGGCTGCTGGAAACGAGGATGAGATTCCCGAGCTACAACCTGATGCAATGCCTTATGCCAATGATGAGGACAAGGTACCTGCACAGGAGGACGAGTCATCTGACGATGACGGGGGAGAAGAAGGACATGGCGATGATGGAGGAGAAGATGGAGGCAGCGAGGAGGAGGAAGAGCGGTTGGCTCGTATTCCGAGGCGTGCTCCAAGGTTGCCTCCACCCCAGATCCCCCAAACAGGTGGTCGTTCATCTGAGGCAGCAAGCAACCGCATGGCACTTGCTCTCCGTAAGTTGTGCTACCTTACAGCTGATTTCCCAGCACTGAGCTTGTTCTGCAAGAATTGGAAATGATGCATTGAAGCCTGTACTTGTTTGCTGTCAATATCAAAGCTGCAGTCATCCTCATATCCAAATGTTGCTTTGTCATTTGGATATTTGAAATTGTGCGTTGAAGGAACAGCTGTTAGATTGGATTGGATAAGAATTCTGAGGAGGCGCATCTGGTGTACAATCCATGTTGCCGGGACTATCCCTTTCAATGAGGCACAAACTAGGTTAATTGTTTGTTTCCAACACAGTGTTTTGGCAAGAGAGTGACATGCTCTTAGCTTGCTTCAGGGAAGGACAGCTCAGAAGCTGGAGGTGGTGCCGGACGTGCCATTGTGATTGGCGGGGATGTTGACGAGCAATATTTGTTGCAACCGGGCAGAGGAGAGGAAACGGTGAGCATGGAAAAAGGGGAACCTGCTGTGGAATGCAAACCTCGCAAAGTTGAGCTTGTTCTTAGCCAACCACATGGCTAGACCTAGTGCTCTATGCATCATCTTTGCTCTTGGCAACCGTTTGCTCATGGCTACCTGCTTGTTCTTACGTGCATCGGTTTGCTCATGGCTAACTGCCTACTCTTGCCTCTGGGCAAGTTGTTCTTGGCTCCGCTTGCTTTTGCTGCTCTGGTTGCTCTTGGCTAGGATTGTTTCATACAAGGATTCGGGTTGGCCAATGAAAGCGCCCTTACGTTTTCTGCAGACCCCCGAGAGGGCGCTTGCCAAAGTGGCCCTGATCAGCTGGGCGGTGGGATGCGACCCTTACCCCAAGCCGGAGGACCTGTTGTACTACCGCGCCGTCATGGAGGGGATGGAGCGTTGTGAGGTGGACGGGGTGAAGAACGATCCGAAGGAGTTCTTTGGGGCAGCCACGTACGCCTACCTGTTGCATTGGCACACCAAGAGAATGTCCAGTGCCAGGGCGGAATACTCTGGCGTCAAGAACATTCGGGGTGTCTTCAACGCAACCCATCACTTCACTCCAGACAAGTGCAGGACAGACGAGGCGTTGGAGGAGCTGCTGGCCAAAGGGCGAGAGCTCGTGAAAGGTGAGCGATCAAAAGCTTCTGATCGCTACAGGTGTCAGCTGCTGATCTGCACTCGATATCCAAATGCACTGTTGCATCTGTTACTGTGGAAATGCTGCGTTGAAGTGTCCTTGTAGAACTTCTAGCCGCGAAGCGACAGCCTCTCAACGAATGACGTTTGCTTCTTGCAGACGGCGCGTGGCATACCGACGGCGACGGCAACCCGTTCTCCTCTGACGTGTTCGTCAATATCGCCAACGACGTCTGGTCGGGCGACGGACAGTGCCGTATGACCTGCAAGCAGCTGGCCTGGACCTGTCTCGTGGTAAGTCGTACATTTGGAGAACCCTTCAAAGCTCTTGGCAGAACTTTGGAATGTGAAAGTAAGCTCAAGTGCGGATGCCCAAAAGATCCTCAACTTCAGCCGAAGTAGCACGTCACATGGTCGACTGCTGTATTTCGCGACTGGCAAGCTTGATGCTTGTAGAGCACAGTTCCATCAAGCATCTCGTATCGTGGACAGCACCTGAC